TCGTCGGGGCGCGCGATCGTTTGATCCCCCACCGTCAGGAAGGCGGCCAGAGGAGCCAATAGCGGCACCGCTTCCGGCTACGGCGACGGCCCAATGGGCGAACACCGACCGCGGATCGACGCCGACGATCTGGCTGATTTTGACAGTCGACACACGACCACGGCGGCATCGTGCTGCTCCTCTCGACCGCGCGTGTCTTTCCGCACCAGCTCCTCGGAGGGCTCGCTGCTCGTCGTTTAACGTCGTCGTGCCTCCGGAGTGGTAGCTGTTATTTAGCCGGCGAAGAGAGAGAGAGCGAGGAGCCAGTTTGGATTTCGAAGGTGTCGGTTCTCTCTCTCCCTCTCTTCCGGGCTCCTTCGCGACGGAGTGTTACGTGTGCCAGATGCAGGGACACAGAAACAGTGGCAGGAATTTAGCCTCGGTGGTGATGATCGGTTTCGTTTGAGAACCAACTGAGAGAGAAAGAGAGAGGAAAGTGAAAGTTGTTCGGATAAAAGTCGGTTGAAAGAACGATCTCGAGGAGAGCAACGCTAACCAGGCGAGACTTAAATGCTGGTGTGAGAGAAACCGATGAGCTGCGCTATGGAGTATCAGCAATTGGCGCCACCGCCGGTACCCAGCGTGTTGCACCAAGCGCACCACCATCAGCAGCAACCGCAACACCAGCAACCGGTGCAACCGCCCCATCCCCATATCGTGGTCGCGCCGGCGCACCAGCAACAACCCCAACAACCACCGCCCCCACAGTTACCGCCCACCTCGCACGGACACCAGGTGCACGCGCCGCTTCCGCCTATCCACGACGATAGCACCAGCTCGCGCTGGACACAGTACCAGCATCTATGGAGACAGCATCATGTCTACGTTAATGGTACGAATTCGGATTATCGATCATCTCCTATTTACCTCATCACTGCAGAGGACTGATAGTTCTACTGGCAGAGTAGATAGGTCTTTTAGTGTAGATTCATGTTCCTCTTGGAACTATGTTTTTCTTATGGACTCAAACTTCTGGCTCTACATTTCTACATTTCTTAGGTTAGTTTCTTCTGGAGCTGTATTTAGTCTAGTTAGAGTTGTCAATATGATGTATATTTGCTCTGGACCTACATTGTTTGGGTTCTACTTATTTATCAATTTTGGAGTATTCTCATTTGACCAGATCTCTCAAATCAAGACTTGACCAAGTGCAGATGTCTTGCAAGTTTCAGAGTTTTAAAAATGTAGGAATATGTCTAAGTTTTCTTTGTGACCAGATTTCTGTTAAATCAGGACTTGTCCCAAGTGTAGATGCGTCTCTAGATCCAGAGTTTGAGAAAATAGAGAAATAAATTTCCTTTGTGACCAAATTTCTTCCAAATCAAGATTCGTCCTAGGTGCAGATCCGGAGTCCTCAGAAATGTAGCACTACGTCTGAGTTTCTTTTGTGAGCAAATTTCTCCTAAATCGAAACTTCTCCAAGTGCAGATCTCTTCAGATCCAGACTCCTATAAAATATAGCACTACGTCTGAGTTTCCTTTGTGACCAAATTCTCCTAAATCGAAACTTCTCCCAAGCGCAGATATCTCTTCAGATCCAGAACCCTAAAAAAATTGCACTACGTCTAAATTCCCTTTGTGAGCAAATTTCTCCTAAATCGGAACTTCTCCCAAGTGCAGATCTCTCCAGATCCAGAATCCTACAAAATGTAGCACTATGTCTAAATTCCCTTTATGAGCAAATTTCTCCTAAATCGGAACTTCTCCCAAGTGCAGATCTCTCCAGATCCAGAACCCTAAAAAAATTGCACTACGTCTAACTTCCCTTTGTGACCAAATTTCTCCTAAATCGAAACTTCTCCAAGTGCAGATCTCTCTAGATCCAGAATCCTACAAAATGTAGCACTACGTCTAAATTCCCTTTGTGAGCAAATTTCTCCTAAATCTTCTCCCAAGTGCAGATATCTCTCCAAATCCAAAACCCTAAAAAAAGTACCAATACGTCCAAATTTCTCCTAAATCTTGTCCTAAAACTTCTCCCATCCACAGATATCCCATAGTTTAAAATAAAAAGTATTAACAAGAAAATTTGAAGGATATAGAAAGGGATAAACGCTTCCGTGCACATAAAGATCTATGATCCGAATCGATCCACTGACGACAATATCGACCTTGGTCCCGCGTTAAAAATGACTGGTTTATTCTTTTGTTTTCTAATTGCTCGTCTGCTCGTCGTTAGCACGCACGATCGAAATTACGATTGCGTTTATAAAAGACCGGTTTGAAAGGACAGCAAAACCGCGCTGGTGTTGACGCTCGTGAAGCGTTGCCTCGTGTACACGTGACATGCTTCGACTACGTTTTTGTCACGGGAAGAAACAAGATTTGTTTGTACGATTTTAAAATGACCACATTTCACGATGTTTACGTCACTGACACACATAATATTAAAACGCATGAATATTGATACGCTAACTGTCATGGCGGTTTACCGGTTATCGACGGACCGAGCTTTACCTGATCGTATGTTTAATGAAGAGGGGACTGCATAAGTACTTTTCAAGTGCTTTAATTATTTCTTTTCAGAGATGTGGAGAATATTGGGTTTTTAGAGATTGTTAGCTATTTGCAGATATTGTTAGTTATTTCTAGATATTAGTCATTTGGAAATTATTTTGACCTAAGGATGTCTACTTAATGATATTAGGCTGGGTGTTGTTGATTATTGAATGATTACTGTTTCGTTAGAGATGTTAGGATCTAGGTGTACAGGTGTTAGCCATGATAATTTTAGACCTGGAGGTATTGGAGATTTAAGAATAATTTGTGTAAAAAGATGCTATGAGAGATTAGTAATAGTTTGAAGATCCAAATCCTAACTTGATGGACATGTAACTTGATGGACCTGTAACTTGACGGACCTGTAACTTGATGGACTTGTAACTTGATGGACCTGTAACTTGATGGACCTATAACATGATGGACCTGTAACTTGATGGACCTGTAACTTGATGCACCTGTAACTTGATGGACCTGTAACTTGATGGACCTATAACTTGATGGACCTGTAACTTGATGGACCTATAACTTGATGGACCTATAACATGATAGACCTATAACTTGATGGACCTATAACATAATGAACCTATAACATAATGAACCTATAACATGATGAACCTATAACATGATGAACCTATAACACGATGGACCTGTAACCTGATGGACCTGTAACTTAATGGACCTATAACATGATAGACCTATAAATTGATGAACCTATAACATGATGAACCTATAACATGATGAACCTATAACATGATGAACCTATAACATGATGAACCTATAATATGCTGAACCTATAACATGATGAACCTATAACATGATGAACCTATAACATGATGAACCTATAACATGATGAACCTATAACATGATGAACCTATAACATGATGAACCTATAACATGATGAACCTATAACATGATGAACCTATAACATGATGAACCTATAACATGATGAACCTATAACATGATGAACCTATAACATGATGAACCTATAACATGATGAACCTATAACATGATGAACCTATAACATGATGAACCTATAACATGATGAACCTATAACATGATGAACCTATAACATGATGAACCTATAACATGATGAACCTATAACATGATGAACCTATAACATGATGAACCTATAACATGATGAACCTATAACATGATGAACCTATAACATGATGAACCTATAACATGATGAACCTATAACATGATGAACCTATAACCTGATGGACCTAGAGACACAAGTACCTAAAAATTTCAGAATATACCTAACAGTCAGTATCACTTTTATAACACAGTGCAGTCAGTGGCAGACTATGAAAATATTTGATGGTTCCGGGTTCATTGAATCGCTTATCAAAAGATCTGGGCGACGCAATATATGGAGGGAAATTCGAGTTTATTAGAAAGCGGGAGGAGAATCGTAGAATAAAACGAGAGAGGAGAGTGGAAACGCCGACCCACCTGTTGCTTGCATCAGGTTGCCTACATTTTATCCGTAATTATCGCGGCATCTATCGACTTAGATCATACAGGACTTTCTCCGTTACATTATTCCGTGTACTTGTTTTTAGCTGCAGTTATTATTGCACTGAATTATTTAATACTTCGTTATGAATATACATTGTCTTAGTCCTGCAAATTGCTTAGCTAAAATGCACCTAGCAATCTTCGAGCAGTCCAGCGAAATTATTGCATGAAATAGTAATTTTTGACTCCGTTCGAGAGCGAGTATTTAAATTATGGAGTTAATCCGATATAGGTTATCGGCGTGTTTCGGTATAGCTTTCACGTTATTTACGCTTTTATTTATATTGCGTCGAGAAAGTTATTTATTGGCTACGTCAGCCCGAGTTAACGGGTTCGGAGCGTGAATGAATCATACGCGTCCGTGTGCGAACGTGTGAATTCACCTATGCACCTATGCACATATGCACATATCCTACTTGCGACGGAATCGACTCAAGGCTGTTAACATTTGCATCCTCCCACGTTTTGCACTTGCTGGTCTGTCTTCTTTTTCCGTCTGATCGAACTTCACAAAAATACTTCTACAAGAGAACATAGAAAATTACGTGCTTCGTTTTCTTCCATTTAAGGGAAACTGAAGTAGAAAATTGGGACTTGGTTTTTTCTTACGAGCAGACACGCGATGCCACGATTAATTTCGAGCTCTATTAAACGCGAGCGAGCTGCTGGCTTCTCGAAGCTGTTAACGCGTTAAAAATAACGGAGGTCTGAAAGTTCTTCTAGCCTGTTGATGGCAATTGGTTTCATGGGGACGATGCCTTTCGTTTCCTGGATTCTTAGCGAATTCTTATCGAACACCTTAATTGGGAGTTTAGGGCTAAGGTATTTTGGAACGTCGATATCTCTTTATACGTCACTTCTACGACAAAAATAGTTATTATGAAATTTATAGCTTGAGAAATCCTCTACAAAAAAGATTCTACGAGTTTTTTTGTGGGAACAATCATTCTCACGCAGGGTGCCTTACAAACTTTCAATGCTAATTTTTTGGAAGAACGAAAGTCGAATACTTATAAACCATCTAACATAGAAATGGTTAGTCTCAGCGAAAAAACTGATAGAACCTTTTTTGTAGATCATTTCCTAGGCTACATATTTTGTCATAACCATTTTTGTCGTAGAACTGATAGATAACGAGATATTCTCTTTTAAACGTTCCATTGTCGATCAGTAGATTAATCTATAGCAAGGGTATTGAAGACTTGATTTATTTAAAGTTTAAATTTATTTAAATAAATGTCCATACAAAAATAAATTTAAAAAAAATATATTTATACCTGGAATGAATAATTGTTCGTTTAAAGATGTCTCGAGTAATTATCCAGGTGTTACGTAATTAACAAGGGTATATAAAAAAAAGAGTGTATTTCGGGGAATGACACGATCCCGTGTCCGGATTCGTCATTGTTCGGTGAGGACGTCAAAGTGCAGGACGGGCTAGTCTCTGCCCATCCCTGGGCATTGTGCCCTTCAAAGCGTTTTCATCCCATTGTGTTCGACGACAATTCGACGCGCACAACCGAGCGCAGTTGCAATCAGCTTACGAGGTCGTTTAGCGTTTAGAACAGACCCGTGTCGGCCATGTTGCACCAATGAAAACGTTCAAGTTCCTTCAAAATACCGCACCTGTATGTTTTCGCTGCTGATTTGGTGTTTGGGTGGATCGCGAATTTGGGGATTTGGGATTTGAGGATTTGGGGATTTGGGGAGGTAGAGATTTGGAGGTTTAGAGGTTTAGAGATTTGGTAGTTTGGAGATTTGAGGGTTTGGAAATTTGGGATTTGGAGATTTGGAGATTTGGAGATTTGG